TACCCATCTCTTCTTAAGGTCGAGCAAAATTACCTAGCAGGCTTCCCGTTCAGAGCAGGGGGCAGTGCACTGACCTGCTGGACCCTGATACCCGATATCAGTTAGGCCACGCTGAAAGCTCCCTGCCTGTGACTCGCCCATTTAACAGAAACCCTATCAGACGTTTCCCATTAGTACACTGCTCTGATTGTAAACTGCAGACCCCTAACTGATGACATCAGAGTTGGCAGAGAACGGACACTCGCTATCCGTTAGCCGCTCAGCCTCTCCCTGCCCTGCAAACGGCGATGGCGCAAGGCTGGCATGTGAGGCCACACACAGGAACACAGCAAAGCCTGGGAAATGAGACGGGAGCCTCCTACTGAGTCACCCCCTGCCTGGCCGGGTGGGCTCGGCAAGCCACCTTCAGGGCCAGGGGACCCCTGAGGCCCTCCCACGTGCTCGAGGCCCCCCAGTGCCGAGACATCGCAGGCAGGGCTCTCGGGGAGGGGCCCGTGCTTTCTGAATTCAGGGATGACAGAGATGGGTGTGTGGGCCAGGCAAGACTGCTGTGACTCAGCACTGCTGAGCATCCTTCCCAGGACGCCCTGAGCCCCTCTCTTCCAGGCACATGCTGGTAGACGGAACTCAGCCCTGGCATAGACTGCGTGGCCAGGCTTCCCAGAACGCTGGCTTTCCAGTAGCTCACCTCAGAGAGAAACAGAGAGAAGTGAGCTACCCCAAGGACGGCCTCAGCCATAGCTGAGCCCTCAGAGTTTATCAGCTGAAAACCAATCCATCAGTAGCCTGGCTGCATGTTCGCATTAAAACCCCAAGCCCCTGAAACAGTGTCTGTACCCGGCACCAGGCTCCAACAGAGAAATCGAGGCGCATGCCGAGGCTGCCCTCTCAGACCCAGAGGCAGCAGGACCCCAGTGGAGGGAAGACCAGAGGTCTCACCGGCCTCCACTGCAGGCCCTCCCACGGTGCTCTGTGCCTTGGGGTTTGCTGATGCCTTGGTTGTATTTCTCCAGGCCTCTGTAGGGAAGCCCTGAGAGGATGACTGGGCTACGCAGCATCTGTGCACCTTGGGGGGCCATGCAGAACAAACCCGGGCCCTTCCTGGGGCCCTGAGACCGGCTGGTTTAATCCCTGGAGGACTCCCACCTGCCACTGCAATCCCAGGGTGTGCCCCCCCCCCCCCCCGCCAGGTGGCCAAGGAACAGAGGGCCAGCTCCACGCCCATGACCAGGTGGTTGGGGACTCTGGAAACCGGGAGGGACCCCGGGCAGGGCTCTGGAGCCCCTAGCCCACTGAGGCTGGGTTAAGTCAACAGCCACCAACAGGAAGTTCCACAAACACCCCGTCTGGGTGTACCCAGGCCGACTTCACAAAGTTCGCAGAGTCCTTCTTACAGAAAGCACACACACCCATCCCATTACTCAGGCTTCTCTTTAAGAAGGCCATTTCATCTCTAACCTGAACCCAGAATACTGAAAGTTTCCAGATAAACATTACCCATTAAAGCACTGTATTTACCAGGAAAGTTAATGACCCACACCCAAGAAGTGGCTTGGGGTACAGATGAGAGCTCTTCATGGGGTGCATGGCTGAGCACGGTAATCCCCATCCAGCTGGACAGCATCACCTGCCCACATATCAGTTCTTCTTCAAAGATGGAAAGCCCAAATTTAACCTGTACCATCATGAGGATGCTCTTTAATGGTGGCCAAGACGTCCTGGCTGGTGGTGTCCACGACACCACCATCTCAACCCTTAGCACAGTGACCAGGCATCAACAAGAAACTTATAACCCAGCAAGAAATATAAGTATTAATATTTTTCTTTCAAATGAAGACACCCACTATTCCAAAAGGTTTCACCTTTTTAAAGTTAACTCTTGGAGCGCCTGGGTGGCTCAGTGGGTTAAGTGTCTGCTTTTGGCTCAGGTCATGATCCCAGAGTCCTGGGATAGAGCCCTGCATCAGGCTCCATGCTCCGCGGGGAGTCTGCTCCTCCCTCTCCCTCTGCCTGACGCTCCCCCTGCTTGTGCTCGCTCTCTCTCTCTCTCACTCTCTCTCTCAATTAAATAAATAAAATCTTAAAAAAAAATAAAGTTAAACTCTTTCTTGGAAGGACTTTCCCTGACAAAAAGCCAAAAAAGCACATCACCAACATCACAAAGAAGGACAGGCTGATAAGCACGCAGCTTTTGCCATCCAGGTAATACTGACAAATCTGAACACTTTACATGAAGAAAAATCATAAGGTTTAAAAGTCTGCCTTAAAGAAAATAAATGGAAAAATGAGAGATGGGTAATGTCATTTTAATGTTAAACACGTATATTATACATCAGGTTGGTTTTTTTTACTCAACTGAGGTCCTTATTAATGATTCAGATATCAAAAATTTTAAGTGTCAGAATGTTTTAAAGCATTTCTAAATGCTTTTTTGAACTGCAAGAACAATGAATATTTTTGGCTTCAGAATATTTTCCACTGCATTGTAATGAACAAGCAGCTCAGTGTTCAGTTTTAAACCAAAGCAGGGATTATAGCAAGAATGCAGTTTGAATTGTGTATCTATCTAAATAAAAAGTGGGGGAAAAAATCCTAACTGCAAGCAACAGTCTCCCCCAGACACATCCCCCCACAGCTAACACTCACACTTCTGCTCTTCCAGCCCAGAATCTTCCCGGGACTGACTCTGTGCTCACTTGTGCCAAATTGGTTAAATTAGAAAGGTAGGGGACACATAAAATTCAATTCATAATCCAAGACAAAAATCTGAGCTTTGGTTTGAAAAATGAAAGGCTACTGGGGTGACTTAACATACTCCAACCCTTCAAACAATCAAGATATTTAACTCCGAAGACAGATCTCAAACAAGAGACTGCCCAAGCTCAAGCTGACCGCAGGGCACCACACCATGGCCAGACGCAAAGATCTCAGATGCAGATGTGTCTTTGAGTCCAAGGGTCAGGGACAAATATCAGACAACATGACCCGAGATGACACTGAAGACAAGATGAACCATTACCCCTCCCTTTTCCTACAGCTTGATTCTCTATCACTACTGTCCACCTCACCCTGGCCAGCCCCTGGAGCTTGCCTTGGAAGGGAAAACTAGGGACACCGTTCTCAATTCTGGGGCATAAGCTCAAGGGCAATATCATTTTTCACTTTTAAAGACTTTCCCCTAAACTGAAACAGGCAGGGCCACTGGAAGTATGCAGTTATTAATGAAACAGAGAGCCCACAATTACTTTTCCTTCCCTACCAAGAATATGATACAGTTACGTGGTCCTGGAAACAAGGCCACTGCAGAGCCACGGCTGGGAAAAGCACCCTGGAGCCCCCGGACTCCTGACAAAAGTTTTTTTGGAAATACCAGAAGGTTACTTGACCGATGATACATTTCCCTGCCAACCCTTGCTGGCAAATACACTGGAAAAATAATGCTGCTGCCCACCCTAGAAACGACCTTTCGGCAAGTAGACTTGGTTTTTCCTTAACCAGGGACAAAAGTCACACAAGCAAAAAGCCATTCCTTGTCCAGATATCCTGCAGAGGCTGACAACCTACAGCAGGACAGCAGGGGGGCTGGGATTGGCCGTGGGGGGGGGGGTGGGGACAGCAGCAAGCAGGGGTTGGGTGGAAAATGGCCTAGGTCGGGGCGGGCCCCAGACCACACACAGAGTGGGGAGCACCAGGGTGGCACTGACAAGGAGCTGCTACATGACAAGGAGGTTGGGAGCGGGAGGGCGGCTGTACCTGGCACGGAAGAACCCCAATCCTCTCCGGGTGAGGCCAAGGCGGAGCAAGGCGCACCGCTGGCATCCCAAACCCTTAACCCAACACTCCGCAGAACTCTCTGACCCCAAAGACCGCGAAGCACGAACCCTGCGGGTCTCTGGGCTCGCCTCAGGACCCCGGTGCGCGTCTCCCAAACGGACCTGCTGCCTCCCCCGAATGGGCGCACCCAGAGGGCACAGATTTAAAGAAACCCCCACCCTGAGAGCCCACCCACGCTGGGGAGGGCGGGGAAGCCGGATCCAGGAAAGTGGTCAGCCCCCGGGGGAGCAGTGTGTTCCTCGGATCGGTCAGTGACACTGCGGCCTCCATGTCCCTTGGTCGCCGCGGTGACCCCACCCGAGCGGTATCGCCCCCAGCCAGGACCCCAGCGCCCCCGCCCTCCCCGCTGCGCCGGCCCCCAGCTTGCGGCCCGGGACCCTGCGCCCCGCACCCGGCACCGCCGCCCCCAGCCCCGCGCGGGCCACAGCGGACACGAGCCCCGGCAGGCGGCGGGGACGCAGCGCCCGCAGTGCGACTGGCGCAGCGAACGAGGCGCGGGGCGCGCCGTCCGGACCCCGACCCCGCGGCCGAGGAGGGCACCCGTCCTGGATTCGAGAGCACGCGGTGGGCACGGGCCAAGGCCGGGGCCGAGGAGCGATCAGTGCTGGTTCGGGAGGGCAGGGCGGGGGCAGTGGGATGGGGTGGGAGGGGTCCGTCCGGGACCCCGGGAGAGGAAAAAGGGGGTCCCCTCCAGAACCTGGGGGCGTGGGAAGAGGGTCTCTTCGGGAGTGCGGCGGGAGGCTGGGAGGTACATTCCGGGCCCAGGATAAGGGGGCCGGCAGAAGAGCGAGGGAGTACCGCGTGCAGGGAGGAGGGATGGAAAGGTCCTTCCAGGACCCAGGAGAAGTAGGAGGGGGTCCGCTTCGAGCTGCGGGTCGGGGACCGCGAGGTGCGAGCGGGGCGCCAAGCAGGACGGGGATGAGCGGGGAGCGGGGCGCGTCCTGGTCGGGCAGAGGGCTAAAGGCGCACCCCGCTCGGCGCGAGAGAGCAGGAGGGTCCAGGGCCCGGCTTGGGAAGGGGTGGGGGAGGCGGGACCCGCCGCAGGGGTCCCGCGACCGTGTGTGCGGGTCGCAGAGGGGCGGGGCGGGGGGTACGGCGGCAGGCGAGAGCGGGCCAGTCACCACAGGGAAAGGGGTCTGTCCGGGCAGGGAGGGACAGGAGCTCACCTTGGGTTTGTACAGCCACTTTCGGAACCTGTTCATCATCGCCGCGCCGCGCGAACCCGGACCCACGGCCCTCGCCTCCGCAGCGCTGCGCCCGGCCCGGCCGCGGCGCGGGGCGGCCGCGGGGGCAGGGCCGGGCCGGGGCCCGCGCGGTGTCTGGGCGGCTGGCGCTAGCGGAGCCCGGCACAGGGCCCGGCGGAGGGCGGCGGACAGGTGCGCGGGGCAGGTGCACGGCCGGCGATGCTCCGCGAGCGCGCGCAGGGCGGACTCGCAGCCCCGCTGCAGGCGGACGGGTGGGCGAGCGGGCGCACAGACGCGGGCACGGGGCGCCGGCTCCTCGCGGCTCACTGACAGCCCGCGCCTCGCCGGCCAGCGCGCCGCACATGCGCCGAAGCGCCGCGAGCCCCCTGCCCGCCGCGGGCATCGGAGGCCGCCCAATCCCGCGGCGCCGTGCCGCGCCCCGCCCGAGGCGCGCTCCCCGCCGGAGGGCGACCCGGCGCTCCCGGGAAGGGCGAAAAACTACAAGTCCCGACAGGGCATTGCGGGGAGGCGGGGCCCTGGGCGCAGCGTCCTTTGCCGCACAGCGCGCGCTGTGCATTCTGGGGCTTGTAGTCTTCCCGCTGGCGGCTCCGGGGCTCGCCGCCGGTTGCTAGGTGACGACGTCCAAACTGCACCCTTGCGCACACGTCTCGTCCCGGCTGGTGGCGGAGGTCCTGGCGGAGCCGGAGTGAAGTCGGGGACCCGCCTGGATTCGTGAGACCTGCCGCACCCGCTGGCCCTGGCATCTGCGGTGGCGGCGGGTGGAAGTGGGACGGGAGGTTCGGCGGCAGGAGCGCCTACGAAGCCGACCAACAGGTAGGAGGTGGGAAGGGAGCAGGTGGGAGCCGATAGGGAGGAGGGCGAGGCGCCTCCCCTCAGCCTGAGCACCTCTCTCCAGCAGCTTCCCATGGTCTGCAGGCAGTGCTCATCCTCCTTGCTTCTCATCTTGCTTTCGCTAACCACCTTTTTGGGCTTCTTCCCAGCTCCTTGATTAAAGTTAACGGTGTTTTGTTTTTGTTTTCTTTTTAATCGCCACAATAAACGGTGCTTTTTAAAAAGATTTTCTCCAATATTCACTACTCCCCCCAACCGTGCCCTAATTTGGATCCATAAAGACAATCACCAAAATATAAGAACCTATTATGTATCAAGCAGAGAGCTAAAAACAAATGTGTTGAATACAAAACACTTAAATTCCCATTGACAGCTGGAGAAACTGCTGTGCTCTTGGCTGTAGGAAGGGGATCTAGATCAAGGACAGCACTCCCCCAGCAGCTTCGCACTTTCCCCGGCCCCCACCCAGCACCACTTCTCTGGGTGTTCTGAAATGTGCAGATTTGGGGTGCAGGAAACGGAAGGAATGTCTCCCTTGGTAGAGAACTTATTCTCTGAGACATATTATCAGTGGCCCAGGGGCTATGTGCTCTGATGGTTCTGGATCCCTGACCTCTTTAGTCTATGAGACTCGATGAGTCTGGGCGCAGGCAGCCTCGGAGATTTCCTTGTGTGCTGGTGGTGGGCCATGTTCATTTTTGAGCCTGGTTGATCTTCCCCACACCCCTCCAGCTACTACCCAATCGCTGCTCCGTTAGGAGCAAATCCCTCCCCACCCTGGGTTGCCTCTAATCTTCAGTTCTTTCTGCCTCTTCTTTCTGGAGCCCACTCTGATCAGATTTGCACCCAACTGTTCCTCCAAAGTTCTTCATCAAGGTCATCCTTGACCCCGATGTTGCTAAGTCCAGTGATCAGAGCCCCATCTCTTCCCGGAACTGTTAGCAGCAGGCATCTCAGCTGAGTGCTCTCCTCCTGAACACACCATCCTCGCTTGGCTGGAACAGATCGCACTCCCTGCCTCTCCTCCTGTGGTTGCTCCTTCTCAGTCTTCTTGGCTGGGGTCTCCTCTGTCTCCCAGCCTCCTAACACGAGAGCCCCGGGACTCAGTCCTTGGAAGCTCTTCCCTCCACTCCCTCCCTGGGTGATCTTCTGCAGTAACGAGGTCTGATAAAAAAACATTTTCTCCTGAGCTTTCCAAAACTTGTATCTCTAACCTGAACATCGCCCTGGGACTGCAGACCCCTTTACCTATTCTTTGTCAGTGGAAGTCTAACAACTCCCCCCAAATTCAACATGTCCAAATGGACTCTCCATCTTCCCCCCAGAAGACCTGCTCCTCCCCAGCCAGTGCCTCTAGCATGAGAACTCGGGGTAGGAACTTGGGGGACTGTTCTCTATGGTTCTGTCCTTGTCCAACTTCAAGGCTGGGCTGTTGGGGCTGTGCCATCTTCCCTCCTGTGCTTCCCAGTTTGAAACTGTGCTTGGGAGGAGGGCTGGCCTCAGGGAAGTTGGTGTATCAATTAGATTCGGTTCAGCTAGGGGCCCCTGGGTGGCTCAGTCAGTTAAGCATCAACTCTTGGTTTTGGCTCAGGTCATGATCTCATAGGTTGTGGGATACAGCCCTGGGTCCAGCTCCCCACTCAGTAGGGAGTCTGCTTCTCTCTCTCTCTGACCCTCCCCCCACTTGCTCATGCTCGCTCTCTCGCTCTCTCTCTCTCTAAAATAAATAAATCTTTAAAAAAAAATTTTAGGGGCACCCAGGTGGCTCTATCAGTTAAGCGGCTGCCTTCGGCTCAGGTCATGATCCCAGAGTCCTGGGATCGAGCCCCACATTGGGCTCCCTGCTCTTGGGGAGCCTGCTTCTCCTTCTGCCCCCTCCCCCCCCGCTCATGTTCTCTCTCTCTCTCTCACTCTCTCAAATAAATAAAAATTTTCAAAAAATTTTAAAGATTAGATTCAGCTGCATGTAATGAAAAATCCCAAGATCATAGTGGCCCAAACAAGATTATTCATATTTCCATAAAGGAGGTTAACGGGGGAGGCAATCCTGTAAGGTATAGCACCCACAGAATGCCGTCAGGCACTGGACTCTTCTCGCTTCCTCCTCTGACATCTTTTTTTTTTTTTTTAAGATTTATTTATTTATTTGACAGAGAGAGACATAGCGAGAGAGGGAACACAAGCAGAGGGAGTGGGAGAGGGAGAAGCAGACTCCCCACCGAGCAGGGAGCCCGATGTGGGACTTGATCCCAGGACTCTGGGATCATGACCTGCGCTGAAAGCAGATGCTTAACAGCTGAACCACCCAGGCGCCTATCTCCTCTGCCATCTTGAACATGTTTCCTCACAGTCCAGGATGGCTGCCCAAATTCCTGCCATCACTTCCTGAGTCCAGGCAGCAGGATGGAAAAGCGAAGAAGCATATATGCCTCTGCCTTTCAGAAAGAATTTCCAGGAATCTCACACTCCTGCACTTTATGGCATACCCAGCTGCCAGGGAGGCTAGAAAATGTCATCTTTCGGCTGGGCAGCAATAAATCCAACTAAAACTCAGTGTTTTGTTACTCAGGAGGAAAGGGGGAGTGGAGATTAAAAAGCAACCAGCAAAACCTGCCGTGTGGGTCTGTACTTCGAGCACAAGCCATCAGAGCATGACTTGGCAAAAATCCTTCAGAGACTTTTATTCAGAATCAAAAGCCAGGGAAAGAATATATTTGAATAGTGCACATTTGGTATCTATGTAAATGAAGGCTCTCTGGTGGCTGAGAGTGTTGAACTGGTTTGTGTCTGATGGAATTTAAACCTCCTGTAGTCTCATTCCTTTCTACAAAGGATTTGCTAAGAAAAGAGAAGCTTTGGTCCAGCCCACCTTTAAAGTTTCCTTAAATATGAGACAGTTGAGTCTTGATTAGGGGAGTTAAATGTTGGGAATCGGATGCCACTTCCCACATATCTGGTTTTACCCCATTAAAACAAAGCTGAGGAACTAAGAGCATGTATCAGAATCAGATGCCTTTACTGCCTGTCTCCCACCCAAACATGTCATTATGTTGACTAAGCTCACAGGCTAATTTCAGTGAGAATGCAGAACTCCAAGGTCTCTTTTCCTGATGTCCACCCTCCTGCGCAGCGGCTCTGTGCCGGGGTGGGGGTGCAGAGCCCCTCCCCAGGAGCCCTGGGCCTGACAGTGAGCCAGGGACCCCCCTCTCCTCCCCACAGCCCCCATAGAGTCCCCTCTGCAGCTGCCACCTGGTGCATGCAGTCATTGCTTCCAGTTTGTTCCATTCAGGCCCGCTCTGGATTGAGGGGACAGCTTGGGTGGTTCTCTTGCTCTTCGTGGACTTGTGTCATCACCAAAGGGCCTCTTGGAGCATGCTTTCTCCAGAATGTTCCAGCTCTGGGACAGGAGAGAGGGCAGGGAAGTCATCCCGCCCCCGGGAGCAGCTCCCATGCATGCAGACTGCCCACATCAGGTGCCGGCGGGAGGGAGCCCTTTCCTGATTGTACGTGGTTCCTCCAGGCTGAGCTGTGTTCAGAGCAGATGCAGAAAAGTAGCGTTAAGGGCCAGACCCCATCCCAGGGTAGCGCCCCCAAGTGAGGGTCAGCAGGAGCGATAAAAAAACCTGCATCCTTAACATTTTTTCTATAAAAACAGACTTTTTACTAGTTGCATTCATTTCCTTGTGAGCTCTGGAATGTGTAAATGTTATTTTCCTTTATTATGTTGACAGGGTGCCTCTTTCACCCAGCCATGCTCCCCCTGAGATGTTATCAGGAATCAGGCAGAGAGGCTATTGGGAGAGCTTTAGAACCAGCCTGGACCTCGGGCTCCACGGGCAGGAAGTCCTCCCTGGGGTTGGGGAGCCTGACCCCCTCCCTCAACCCCCAACTCAACATGGGGTTTGTTTTCTTCCACATTTACTTGCTTAGTAAATCTTGTTGTAGTATCTGTTATCCTCCAGTTAAGTGAAACAATAAAACTGAACTCTGTTGAACTATAGGATTTGTGGGAGCACAGGTTTAAAAAAGCACTAATATGATCTTTGGGGAGGTCAATCTCTGGATGTCAAAGCCATCTTTCAGATTAAAACTAAGAGTACCAGTTAGGGTATTGGATCCTTTTGCACATTTTTGCGCCCTGTCGTTCATCCCACAGAGACGTCTGCAGCTCTTACTAGGAACCAGCTCTGGTTAAGGGCCAGAACTCAGAGGCGGGAAAGCAGGGTCCTGTGCCAACTGCTCACGGAGGTGTCACGCAAGTTTGGAGGAGTTCAGAGGAGGCACAGAGAAGGGAAGAGCTAGGGAATGAGGAAGGCAGGCTCCAAGGGGCTGTGGTTGCACTCGGTGTTGTGGGATGCCTAGGAGCTCACCAGGGAGAGGACACCCGGCTGGGTCCCCCAGGAGCTGAGAACTTGGGGGGATTTGTTCATGATGGCTGTTAGTGGCAGGAGACTCCACTGACCTGAGACCACTCCTCCCCAGACCTTCCTCCCCTCAGAGCGTAACATCGCCCCCTGTCGGATCTACCAGAGGCCTGAGGTCCTCCTGCCTTCCCCCTATACCCGAAGACCTGTCTGGAAGGACAAGGGATGTGCTGGGGGGTAAGATGGAGGGCCAGGCTTGGGAGACCTGGTAAGGCGGGTTATGGCCAGTTGGCACAGCCAGACTGGGTGATCCTCACCTGGAAATGTCCCACGGCCTCTCAGACATGGGCCCCAGGGGGAAAGGGTTTGCATGAACCCAAGTAACCAATTAGGGGGGGTTCATCCCGAGGAGCCATGGGCAGCCCGCCGGCCTCGAGGCTTCCAAGCTCCATCATACCCAGCAAGGCCTCTGATGCCAGAGGAGGGGTGGTCAAGGTGAGGAGGGGTGGCCACTACTTTCTGTGGCCTTTAAAAAGTCCCTTTGTCAGGGGCACCTGAATGGTTCAGTTGGTTAAGCATCTGACTCTTGATCTCAGCTCAGGTCTTGATCTTGGGATGGTGAGTTCAAGCCCCATGTTGGGCTCCATGCTGGGCATGGAGCCTACTTAATAAAATAGGATGTCCCTTTGTCCATTAGCTGCATTAGGTGGAGAAAACCCTGATCTTGCTAGGGCAAAGATTGCAAACCATGGAAATAAGTCTTTTCCAGGACTTCACCAGAGTCGGTGTTTCCTCCAGGGCCCCCCAGGCCTGGCATTCCCTCAGTCTGCAAGCCAGGCCCTAGGGAGGGACCCCCACTCCTTGGAGTCCAGACCCCACATGGAGAAAGAGAACTAGCTGCACACCCCTCAGTGCCACCTCTGGCTCCGAGATTCCTCTAGTTTGTGCCTGGAGCTAGCTCACTCGGCACTGATGGCTCATGCACACTTTGGGGCAAGATCTGATGTAGAAATAGGGACTCTGTCACGCTAGAGTCCTCCGCAGGTCTCGGCCGTTGCCTCCAGCAGTTTGCCCTGGTTTCTGTAGGACCACTGGCTGGTTTCCGAATTCAGACTCTCCTGAGGCTGGGTCTCCAGGGCTTGAGCTTGGCATCAGGGCTGTAAGCCGGTTTCAGTGCATTTCCCCCTTTCAAGAGGACTTTCCTGGTCACATAGAAGAGACGTTCCTGCTGGCTTTGGTCCCCGCAGAGCTAGGGCTGGGCCCAGAGCAGCCCCTGAAGGGACAGCCCCAAGTCAGGCCGGCGGGGCTGGGTGGTGTGGGGCCCAGGTGTGCAGCCAGCAGAGTGGTGAGGATGCAGACCGGTCCCGAATTTGACCAGGGCAGTGTCGAAGCCTCTTTCCCTGAGCACTCAGTAAAACCCACTCAGCACTGTGCCAGGTGCAGGGCTCCTCCTGGAGCCCCATGTGCTGGGCTCTGATGTCCTTGGCCTGCCACCAGCTGTCACCTTCCTGGAAATTCTCCTGCTTCCTAGTCACTTGTCTGCCCCTTCCTGGGCTCACTCCCCAGGGAAGGGTGTGGGGCCTTGCCTGTCTGCACATGCCATCCTTCTCTCCAGGTTGGAGATGGATTCCCTGCTGGGGAATCTGAGGCCACTCCACACTCCTGTCTATTCTGAGGCCACCTGCTATCTCCCTTGGCGACCAAAGGCTCTTGGGAGCCCTGTCCACAGGGAAACCAACCCATCCTTCATCTCTGGAACATCTTCTCACTCGATTCTTCTCTTCTCTTTCTGGAGCACCTGTTAATTGGCACTTGGACCTTTTGGAGTGGTTCTCTGGTTTTCTCTGTATTTGTCTCCTGCTTTCTGTATCTTCATCTTTTTTTTGAGGTTTTATTTATTTATTTGAGAGAGAGAGAGAGAACACAAGCAGGGGGAAAGGCAGTGGGAGAAGGAGAAGCAGACTCCCCGTGGAGCAGGGAGCCCAACGCGCGGCTCGATCCCAGGACCCTGGGATCATGACCTGAGCTGAAGGCAGATGCTTCACCGAATGAGCCACCCAGGGCCCTTGGACTTCCATTTTTTTGCTCTCTGGGAGATTTTCTCAAATTTACCTTCCACCTCTTGTATTTATATCTTTAGTTCTGCTGCCATATTTTCATTTGCAAGAACTCCGTTTTCTGCCACAGTTCCTCGTTCCTCAGATACCGTATGACTCATCTTTGGGAGGTGGTATAGTTGTCTCTGGGCTTTAACTCTGCTACTCCTCTTGCTGGCTTGCTTCAGTGTTTCGTGCCAGAGATTCTCAGAGGCGTCCAGGGGCGTTTGGTCCTCACCCTCCTTGGGGTGGGGGACTCAGCCAGCGGCTGCATCGGCTGGGACCCGCCATCTCCCTGGGCACCCCAGTGACGGTTTGTTTTTCCACTGTCTCCCCTGGGGGACCTTGGTCTGGGGGCTGCTATCTGGAGCCATCCCAATTTGTTGAAGGTGGAGGAGAGGTGCCCCCACTGTCCCCAGGGCACTAGTAGCCTGGCTCTGCCAACAGCTGGTGCCTGGGAGAACCAGCAGGGGGCAGCCCAGAGGTGCTGCTCAAGTAGGTGAAACAAAGAGGCAGGTGGGGAGGGAGACTCTGCTGGGCCTGGCCACCCCCCCAAGGGCAATTTGGGGGTTACCTGTCAGAACCAGTTCCTGGGGGCCCAGCCCCACCTCAAGCAGCTTCTCCAAGGTCTCCCAGAGAGGGTCTCTGGGCAAACCGGTCTCCTGGAGCTAGTATGTTTCTGGAATGTTCAGTGCCTGGCCACTTAACCAACTGTGCAGTCTCTCTAGGTGTTAGGTCCTTCATCTTTAAAATGGGGGTGTTGAATCTGGTGACCCAAGGACTCTTCTTGTCCCACCCTTTTGGGATTAGGTCACCCACCCCTCTGGGCAAGACCTGCTGCATAAACTGTCACTGAACCCCAGCTGGGCTGAGAGATGCTCAGAGCTCTCCCCACCAGGGGTCATCCCCACCTGTGCACAGTTGTAGGGCTTGGGGCCACCTGGGGGGAGACGGGGAGCCTCCAGGGGCTGTGGGTGAAGGCTCCCCAAGGCCAGCCCGGGCCCCTCAGGTAGCAGAGGCCGGCGGGGACGCAGTCCAGGAAGTGGGCCCGGGTTACTGCAGCTGGGGTCCCTCTTTCCCTCTAACGCGCCTCACTGTGAGAGGCCCCAGGCTCCCAGGGGACGGCCATCTGTTGATAAGGTTCTGTGGCTGCTTTGCCACCTGCTGAGCCGGCAGCCTCGAGGCCCTGGAGGGCGTGACCTGGAGTGGTTTGCTTTTAGGGTCCTGCCCTGGGAAGATGGCCTACTACGGAAAATGCATTGAAACTGTCATTGAACAATTGAACAAATTTAAGCCCGAGAAGGACAGTCATGAGCAGTTCCTGGAGGCTGCATCCGCCACCCTGCAGGTAGGTTCAGAGTGGCCACTCAGGGCTTGCTGGGAGGCATGCTAGTGATACCTGTCGTGCAGCTAGTTACTTTCTAGCAAAACAGCAACAAATCCCCTCCTCACAGCTGCTTTCTTTCCCACCTGGGGAGAGGGCTTGGGCACAGCTCCTGGGCATGCTCAGTGTCACTGTAGGTCACGATGGTGACCCTTCAGGGGCAGGACGCCCTCTGTGCCTCAAGAGGCACTCCTGGTGTCCAGAATGTGCGTCAGACCAGTTTTATGAAAAGAAACAATGGCACTGAGACTCGGGACATGCCTGTGGGGTACCATCCAAAACTGAAAATAGGTAAGAGTCAGCTTGGATGGGCCGCCATTCTGGAGAGTGGCGTCCTCCCCAGGGCAGCTCTGCATGGGCAGCGAGTGAGCTGAGCGGCCTCCCACAGAGCAGCAAGGCCCATGGGAGCCCCCGGCTCCTTCCTCTTGTGACCCACACCTGGAAGAAATGAGGGACCTTCCCCCCGGTGACTTGGCTCTGTCCTCGTGACCCTGGACGGTCCCTGTCCTTTTCTCCCCCAACTGCAGCCCACCCCATTTCAAGCATATACAGAGAGTCCGCTGGACGGGATCCCGGGATGAGAGCAGCGCAGTGCAGCTCATCCTGCCCCTCAGCAGCCCTCGGAGGCCTCGCTGGGATGGAGGCCTCTGGCCTTGCGTCCGCCGACCAGCTGTCGAGGGTGGTGCTCGGGTTGCAGGAGCATGCACTGCGGGGGGCCTGCCTTCAGGACTTTGGGACACGGCCCCGTTGGATGGGGCCTCAGGACATGCTGTGGGATCTTCCCCGCCCGCTGCCCGCCCGTCGTCGTCCAGCAGGGAGAACACCTGCACCTGCGCGCGCTCTAAGGCAGGGCCGCGGTGGCGAACGCGCTCCTTCCGGGAGGTTTGCCCGATTGCTGCTGCCGCAGCCGTGTTGCTTTACCAGGGCCCGTGTGAGCTCCTCACGGCACCCGCCCCAGGGGGCACAGCTGTGACCAGGCCCCACCTCTAGGCGCCCCCCCAGCCCCGTCACCTGCTCAGCTGCGGCCACTGCCGGGCCCCGGGCCGCAGAGGGACTCCCTTTCCCTTGGGGTGTGGTGGGGTATTTTCCTCCTTCCTTGGCTGCCTGTTGTACAGCAACCTAAAAACGCAGAGGGGGACAGGGTGGACGGGCACTGGCCTGCCGAAGTGTCCGGGGCTCTGGGCAGTGTGCATACACAAAGGCTGGAGGGCTTCCAGCAACCAGAGACTCTCCCACGAGAGAAAGCCCGGGACTGCTGACCCGGTGCCCGCTCCCCAATGTCACTCAGGAAAGGACCGGGCAGGGGTCGGGGAGCACTCCTCCCCCCACACCCCTGCACCCATCTCTCGAGCTCTTGCCCTGAGACCTCGGCACGGTGGGGAGGTGCCAGGCCACAGTGCCCTGTCCCCAAGCAGAACCGGCCTCCCCAGCGCCCGCTTGCAGCCTGGCCCCTTGGATTGTTCCCCAACAGATTATTACCGGCGAGCCCTGCATGATGCCCCCCGTGTGCGTTTCTGTGGGGAGGGAGACCAACACCCCAACCCAGCCCCGGGGAGCTGCCCGGCATCCCTAAGAGGGGTGCCGACGCTCACATCAGGCGGAGAGGCAGCTGAGTTTTCTGACACGCTGGTCCTCCCAGGTCCTTTCAAATGTCCACCTCGAGTCCGGACAGTTGGGACAGCACACCCTTGTCTCCAGCTGTCAGAAAATTGGTGTGATCCACTGCTTTTGTTAGACCTGTCGTGCAGCTAGTTACTGGACCAAGGCTCAAGACTGCCACCTGGAAGAGAATGATCCGGTACAGAAACGGACTGGCCGACTGGTGAAGGGCAGGTTTCTCGGTTCAAAAAAGATAAGTTGAAGTCCTAACTGCTGGCTACCTGTAAATGTGACCTCACTGAGAAACGCCATCTTTGCCGATACAATTAAGAATCTCGAGATAAGATCATCCTGGATTTAGAGTGAGCCCCAAATCCAGTGACTAGCATCCTTATAAGAAGAGAGAAATCTAGACACAGATGCAGAGACACAAGGAAGAAGGTCCCTATGACCTCAGACGAAGAGTTTAGTGACGCATCTATGAGCTATGGACACTGGGATTGCTGCAATCACCCACAGCTGGGGAGAAGCACAGTGTGGACTCTCCCTCTGGTCCCCAAGAAGGGACTGACCTTGCAACACCTCGGTTTTGGACTTCTGTCATTCCTGCTGTTTTCAGCTGCCAATTTTGTGGTAATTTGTTACAGCTGCCCCAGGACACTTGCATAGACAGGGAGCCTCCTGGTGGAGACCAAGAGCCAGGTGGCACACTCAGGGTGGCTGCCAGAATGCTGGGCTCTGGGGACCAGGTGGAGAAGAGGATGCCTCAGGTGGTCAGATGAAGCCTGGCTGAAAGGTGGGGAAAGGTCCAAGGACTTGTGGGCTGGGGGAAGAGCGCGCTTTCTCTCTGCAGATTGGTCTACAGGTCACGCACGTGTAGGTGCTGAAATGTGGCGGTTGAGCCTCTCCAGGCGCCAGTCTCCAGAATGGCCTGACGGTGGCACAGAAGAGCTGGCTGGAGCTGGAGGAGGGAAGGAGGGACAGGTGGGGGCGAGGGTGACGGCACCAACCAGGTACGCTGCCAGCAAGCGGCCTGCGCTGGCCCGAAAGTCTGGTTCTCCTGTGCTCCCCGGCCGAGCCCTCAGGGAGGGCTGGGAATGAGAAGGAGCCCCTCCCTCTCTCCATTCTCCAAGCTCTGACCCCCACAGTTAATGTCACTTTGGAACAGGCGTCATTTCATTAGAGCACCACGATGGTGGGCTTGAGGGTTTCCTGTGGGGGGATGGATGCTGGGGGACGTTACTCCCTGGGCCCTGCCCTGGGCCACTCCTTCCCTTCCCGCACACTCCCAGAGCCCCATGTGGCCAGCCGGCTCGACAGCTGGGCCACCAGGCTGAACAGGTGGGCATAAGAACCTCCACAGAATGGACACGGGCCTTCGGGACAGAGGTGTGGGCATGCTGGGCAGAGCAGGCAGCTTGGGGCATCCACAGAGTCCATGAGGTCTCAGCAGACCTCCGACAAGGGTCTGGCTTTGAGAGAGAGTACCTGAGGGGTGGGAGGTAGGGGAGAACGGGGATCCCTCAGGCAGAGGGATCTGCATGAGCCAGGGACAGTGGAGTCCTGACCTGTGGCAGGTGCTATGTGGTCAGGGTAGCCAAGCGGGCCTGAGTGCTAGAAGCTTGGATCCCAGGGCCATCTTGGCAGCCCATGGGCAAGGGCGGGCAGGCAGGTGAGTCCTGAGCAGGAGAAGGGAAAGGTCAACACGGGGATGGCAGAAGACGTACTGGACAGCTGCTCAGTCCGACAGCGCAGGGGTGAGGCGGGGAGGGGAGAGGCCTGGCCGAGCACCCAGCCCAGACCCCACCAGGGAGAGAGGTGCTGGGGAGGGTGGCAAGGGGGAAGGGAGGGGGCTCGTGCAGGAGGGTAGGGGGGAAGGCAGGGGCCTGGTATCACCAGCATGTCCTTGCCTGGAAGGTGGCAGGGTGGCGGCGGCCACGTCCCGGAACGCCTTCTTGCCCTTCTGGTCGGTAGCTTCACAGAAGGCCTGGGCTCAGGAAATCGTTTTTATTTTTAGTATTTTTTCAGTGCCTCATTTATTGACATCAAAGATCCAAAATCCAAAAGGTCCAAAATGGTATCCAGTCGGGGGTCTCCCTCTCCCACTGGCCCTCCCGGGAGACAAGCAGAGACCAGTATCCTGCGGTTCCTTCCAGAGACCCATTCAGGCCTCTCCCACAGAGATACTGCATGTGGTGAAAATTACGTCTACACTGTATCTTTCATATATGAAAACAATATCATTTTTATATAACATTTTTAAGCAGTTTTAGCAGATGGTAACCCATGGTTGCACAGTCCTGCACTTGGCTGTTTGCACTGAAGCGTCCCTGGGGGCTTGCCTGTGTTGGTGGACGCAAGCGTCCTACCTCCTGGCTGTGACGGAGTCACGGCAGCTCTCCCCGGTCGACGGGCTCAGAGGTTGTGTCCGGTGTTTCAGGATGAGAAGCATGGTGGGGCCGACTGGTCTGCCCGTGCTTCTGCAGCTGGGGTCAAGTCCCGGAAGAGGCAGCTTCTCCATGAGAGAGAGTGGGCCCTGGTGAGCTCCATGGACACAGCCAGCTGACCCATCTCGGGGAGCAACATGCCGACCGTGTGCTTGACCTTGCTTACACACTGTGCTCGCAGCTAGTTTCATCGTTGCCAGATAGGCGGGGAAGGGCACTAGGGGTAGTTATATCAACACTTCTCTTATTTTAGCTCCCGAGTTTGGAAACAGTATGTGTTTCTATGTCTGAACTATCTGTTTAGACCTGTATCTGTTGGGAAACAGTGTTTGGCTCTGAGAAAATCCTGAAAAGCAATGTCTTGAAGGAATTAGAGGTATCTTTGCTCACATAAAAAGCAGTCTGCAGACGGGCAGTGTAAGGTGGGCTCAGCAGCTCCGGGGTGCCATTAGGAATGCATTCTTCTTCCTCTCTGCTTGGTGCTCCTTAGAATGTACCTTTGTCTTAAAGTCACAAAATGGCTGCCCTGCTTCCAGCATTGCATCCACATCCCAGGTAAGAAGAGGAGAAAGGCAAAGAGCATAAGGCAGGTGCCAGGTGAATCTGCCTAACTTTCTAGGAGCCTTCTTGGAGGCTACACCTGGCAATTTGCCATTAAATCTCATTGATTAAAGCCATTTGATACATGGCTCCATCAGCAGGGGACTGGAAAAAGTTCTAGCTGAGCATACCATCCATGATGAGATAGCATTTTTCTATCAGGCAGGAGAAAAGGAGAAGGGGTTGTGCCGACGACATTGCCTCAGCTTCCTCTCTCTGCTTTTCTCCCTGGCTGCAGTCTTGACATCACTGATGAGCAGGGGCCCCTGGGTATTCTGTCCTGTGCTGAAATCCGCACCCAGGCCCCTTTCCTGCCTT